AGAGCAAGGTTTTTGGGGGGATAGCAAATGCCGCCTACTGGGTGCTCTTGGCACTTCAGGTTATGTTTTATTTCCAGGGTACCAAAGCAAATGAATTGTGTGCTTAATCTCCCCCGTCTTAATTTCCTCAATACAAAAAAAGAAGGATGTAGGTAGTCTAAATAATCTCGGAAGGTCTTTTCATACCAACATTCTATGACTCTGCAATTTCCCAGTCAAGATATTTTGCCTGTTTGACATCATGCAGACACACTGGGAAATTTCTAGAGGCTTGGAATTTGTTGTTGTTGTTATCAGATGTTATTGATCCAATATAAACAGGACCTTCACTTTCCTTGTATTTTCTCTTCGTAAGCAAAATAGCTGCATGTCCCAAGATGAATATTGAGGACACAGCCATGCTATCCAGGTCTTCTCTTTGGCTCCTTGCCAAAGGAACAGAAACTGGCTGACATCATCAGAGTGGAAGGAGAGTGGACAGGAGGCAGTTGATGCAAGGCAGAGCTTGAACCATTACAAAATTCTTCAGTGACCCTGTGATTAATTTTGTTTCCTGGTAGTTACCACTTCCTAATTTTGACAGATGTGGTTTTCTGCTTTTTTTTTTTAAGAAGCTTAACTGGGTTTGCAAAGAAAGCACTAAAAGGATAAGGTTAGGGAGTGGATTCAGGATCAACAGAGACAGATGCCTTACTGTAATTGAATTGAAACTCTGAGACCTTCTGTGGGCCAACTCTTTGTAAGCTAGTCCGTTGCCTTATTTTTATTTTTATGCAGACTTAATATTCATAACTGACAAAATATGAACTGCTTTTATTCCTCCCTTAAGGTTAACGTGGATATGGGTATCTGGTCTAGCAGAGATTATTCAATAAAGAGGTCAGCTGGATTTGTATCGTTGGTTAATTTCTACATTGTAGAGGGGGGAACCCTGATGTGATTATGTGACGGTGAGGAGGCGTATGATCTGCCACATATTTCTGAAAAACATGTGCTCCAAAAAAGCTCCACTGCTGGCCTGACAGGTCGATAACTTCCACTTTAGGGCTTCATTCCTTCAGATCAAAGCATTGCTTCAAGAAATCCCCTCTTATTGTCTTGCTTACACCTTTTCGGCTACCACTATTTCATTATGAACATAAAAGTTTAGTGTTCATCAAAAGTCGTCTCGATTGCTAGGACCCAGAATTTTGATGAGGAGGATATATAAAGCATAGATTTACCTGTAAATCAGAACTTCCAAACTGGGTCCTCTGGAGGAGCACTTTTTTTTTGAGAAATATTAGTAAATCTGGTGGAATTTTTTTTAAAGGAGATCTGAGATCAACCAAGTTTGATAAACAGAATTCAGCAGAACTAAACAGGCTTTTTCACAGAAGCTTTTAAGGGAAAAAATATTTATTAAACACTGTTTACATGCCAAGAATGGTTAGAAGTGTTTAGGATACCCTAGGGAACAAAACAAAGAATGCTTCCTTGTAGAGCTTACACTCTAGCAGGATTAGACAATAATGAATAATAAACACAATGAGTTTACTGTATAAAACATGCTAATGGAGTGTATGATAGATTGGTAACACAGGTTGTGGGAAGAAAGGGAGTATACTGCATTTTTTTAAAGAGTGGTTAGGGTATGCATCATGGAAAAAATGACATTTGAGCGAAGATTTAAATTCATTAAGGGAGTTAGTCATATGGATTCCCACACGAAGAGTGTGTCAGGCAAGGTTGACCACCAGTGCAAAGACCCTGAGGTGGGATCATGTTTGGTATGTTCAAGGAACAGCAAAGAGGCCAGTGTTCGTGGAACAGGTGGTGGGGTGGAGGGAACAGCCTGAGAAGCCAGAAGGCAAGGAGGAGGGGGGAGTTGTAGATTATGTAGGGCTTTCCTGGCCATAGTAAAGACTTTTTAAATTGAAGAGACTGAGAAGCAATTGCAGAGTTTTGAAGGGAAGAGTAACTTGATCTGACTTATATTTTTAAGGGATCACTGGTTGCTCTGTTGAGAGTTGACTGAAACAAGGCCAGGGAAGAAGCCAGGAGACAGGGCACAACTGCAATCATTCAAGCAACAGGTGATGATGACTAAAAGGCTAAGGCGGTAGCTGAGCTGGTGGTGAGAAGTACTTGGATCCTGGATGCATTCTTAAGGTGAATTGGACAAGAAGTGTCAGAGAGATGAGTCAAGAACAGACAGTGTTGTTATCAGCTGAGATAAAGAAGGCTATAGTGGGTTGGGGGGGTGTTAACAAGCTGGCTTTTGGACATGTTGAACTTGAGGTATTTATCAGACATCCATGTGGAAATATTAAGCAGGCAGTTGGGTATGTGTCTTAGTCCACTTGGGCCATTGTAATACTATATCACACACGGGCAGCTTATAAACAACAGAAATTTATTTCCCACAATTCTGGAAGTTGAAACTCCAAGATCAGGGTGCCAGCTTGGTCAGATTGAGGACTGTCTTCTGGGCTGCAGACTTCTGTTGTGTCTTCACATGATGGAAGGCGTAAGAGATCGCTCTGGGGTCTCTTTGATAAGGGCACTAATCCCATTTTTGAGGGCTTCATCCTCGTGACCTAATCACCTCCCAAAGACCTGGCCTACTAAAACCATCACCTTTGGAGGTTTGGATTCCAACATTTGTATTTTGAGGAACACAAACATTGAAACCATAGCAATATGAAATGGGACTTTGGGAGGAAAGCCTAGACTGAAAATATAAATTTGGGAGTGTTTGGTATAATTTTTAAAGCCTCTAGACTGGGTGAGATCACTAAAGATGTGAGAGAGGCAAGTACTCTGTAAGTACTGAGTGTAGGACTGCTCTAATGCTGTGGAATTTGACAGAGAAAGGGGATCAGAGAGAGAATGACCAAGAGGTAAGAGGAAAACAGGAGAGTACAGCACAGCACAGAGAGGACAGGTAAAGGAACTGTTTCAAATAAGAGGGAGAAATCAAGTGTGTCACTGTGTCCAGTAGATCAAGTAAGACAAGGACTGCGACTAGACCGTCAGACTAACATCCTCCTCGTTGCTAAGGGCCACTCTCACTGAACCATGTAGTGTGAACTGTGAATCCCCGAGAGGGCAGTGAAATGCATAGTGTTTCCCAAACTCACTTAGCACAGAACATTTTCTCACAAAGCATCTCCAGTGTAGCCAAGAACTACTCTGGGAAATGTCGGTGTAGATAATAGTACCCAGTGAAGAGAACAGATCTGGGTAGCACAGAGAGCTGGGGTCAAGAGCTGGGGGCCCTGGATCTCATGGGAGCACTTCGATGGAAGCCAAACTTTGACCACAGTGACATCCTCCAGCTGCCAAAGTGACAGTAGCTTAAGACCAGCAACTTCCCTTACATTTCCTCTATTGACTGGCTTTCTGCACACTAGGAAAGCCTACCGGCCCAGAAATACATGAAAAAAATGCTCAAATTTCTCTACACATTAGGGAAATTAAAATTAAAACTACAACATTCATTGCATTGGGTAATTTTTCAGAGCCTGATAATATCAATCTTGAAAAGATTTTAAGAACTGAGGGCTCTCATTCACTGCTAGTGGGGCTTTAAATTGGGGCCGTTGTGTTAATGAGCATTATGGTAGTCTCCTGTAAATTTGAAGATGTGAAAATGTTCAGCCTAGCAGTTTTACTTCTAGGTATTTACCCTAAAAAAACTCTTCCACATGAGTGCAAGATAATGTTGACAAAAATGCACTGTAGGATTGTTTATAATAGATTGTTTGATAGAAAAAGTAAGAAATAAAGTCCATCAACAGAAGAATGAATAAGAAAGGTTTTAGTTATTCACACACTGAAATAGTGGTTAAAAATGAATTAACTAGGGCTACGTCTATCAACATGATAAATCTAAGCACAATGTGGGACAGAAAAAACATGTTGCAGAATTAAAAGTATAATTTAACACCATTTTTATAAAGTTTCCTGAAACATGCAAAAGATTTGTGAATTATTTACGAATATATATAATAGTATAACTTTATTTGATGATAAACACTAAATAGGGGATGAAGGAAGAGGTAAGGATTTATTACATCATTCTGTATAATTGTAGTATTTCAGTATTTATAATATTTTATATTAACCATATTTTAAAAAGGAAAGAAAGACATGCCGAAGAAACGGAGGAGGAGGTGATAATGCATCAGCTAAGAGAAGGTGTAACCCAAGCCAAAATGAATGAACACAATCAAGCAATTGCACAAGGCGTCAAGGAGACAAATCAATTCGAGGAAATTTCAGAATTCTTTCACAGCATATTCCTGGGAAGAGAACAGCATTCTTCTTGAGTCCTAGTAAACAGGTCAGATGTCACTGTATTGCTCGCCCTGCGATTTCCCAGTTGGAGAAATTGAATTTCACTGACATGTCCATTCATCATAAAGGGAATATTTCCAGGGAATATTTCTACTCTATGTGTGCAAAGTACCCTTAGAAGCCTATTTGCCTATTTGACCATAATTTACCCACTGCCGAAGACTAATTTCTTTTTATTTATCTGGCTGCTCACCATATTAAACCTTAAACTTAACCACTTTTGATATCAGTGGAATAAACCATCATCTTAAACTATGTTTATTAATTTGACAAAATAATAATTTAATTTTTTGTTTGTACTCTGGCCATCTGTATGCATTTGGGGAGGGAATGATTCTTTTCTTTCTGGATTAAAAAGGAACTGTGAGATAAAGGAAAAGGTCTTTAAAGTGTAATTAAAATTATATTAATCATCTACGTTCTCATTAAGCGTATTATTTTGCCGAGTATTTAAATGTATTTAAATGATATTGTGTGGGATTAAGGGGACTTAGTGCCTGACCTCACTTCTTTGTCTGCCGAGGACCACAGCTGAGTTTATTGAGGAGGGGATCAAGCATCCCACTAAGAACCTCCCCTGGAAAGAGGGACTAAAGGGTGGAAACTGAAAATGAAAAAAATCTGCTTTATTTTCCTTAAATTGCTGACGATCCAGACAGATGTTTGCCTGTAAGTGATGTCAATCTACTTAACCTACTAGAACAAAAGACCATCAAAGGCAATGTCTCTCTTTTTCCCTTGATGCCTTTTTCCCTGACACTCTAATTACTTTTTAAAAGACACAACAAGAAGCAATATTGGTAACAGTATTGGTTGCATCCGTCTACCTTCCTTTCTTTTGGAAGAGATGATCCTGGCATCCCTGTTGGTCGTCTTCACCTGCATCTGGATTACACTGACGCCAAATGCTTTTGCTGCTGCTGAAATCAAGAAGCCCCACCAGTGCTGCTCCTCTTCAATGAAATGGACCCGGTAAGATATCCACAACCCAAGGGGGTTATAGCTCAAAGGTAGAGTGTGTGCTTAGCATGCACAAGGTCCAGGGTTCAATCCCCAGTGCCCTCCTTATAAAAATAAACAAATAAATAAACCTAATGACCTAAAGATAGCCATAAGTTAATCTCTATTTCCCTCACTAGCCACCTCAGACCTGTGGGGAAATAAATCTTCAGTGGTAGCCCAAATTTGTGGCACTGATTGTCTCTAGAGATAGCATTAACTTATTAAAATAAATCACCTCTGGTTAGCATGGAAAGAGCAGAATTTGGGGTCTCTGCTGGCGTTTGCATTCTTTAGGAAAAAAAATACAGTTCAGGGGCTCATGTTTCATGAATCTTCTTCCAGGTAATGTATTTCTCCAATGAGTAATGCATTTATTATAAAAAACAACATGTTTAATGTTTCTTCAGAACTTCTCTGAGTACACATCAGTCTAAGCACCAATTTCTAATGTCAAATACTTGCAGAGTGTATAGTTTGTATATTAATGAGACTGTACTGAAAGGCATTAAAGCCATTTGTTGGTTTTTTTTTTAAGATTAGTTTTCTGTTTTGAAAATCACCCTTGAAATATCATCCTGAATGTCACTACATCACCATTATTATCTTATCATCAATAATGGAGAGTGTATTTGGACCTGCTAGTGAAGGGGCACAGCTCTCTGCTAGAATGATCAGTTCTTCCTGATTTGCTTGGGGCTTTGTGGTTTTTAGCACTAAAGTCCTAGGGACACCCCTCAGTCCCAGGCAAACTAGAACAATTAGTCACCCTTCTACGTATGTACCTTTAATGGTCAAAGAATGTCCTGGGGGAAATCTGTCCTTTTCAACAAGCACAAGATTTCCAAAAAGGCCCAGTAGGCGAAATTGAGGTCTGAAGGTGAGTGATACCACTCAGCCAACCGTGGCATCCGTGAGGTGACATATGTCTCAGCCAGATCGCCCTCACATCTTGAATATTTATGAAGAACTCACAATAAGGTCATGAAAGAGAACATAAAAATTTAATAAATCCTCCTGAAGACTCAGGTTTAATGAACAAAAACAAAAGCGAGGTTGGGGGAGGGAGATGTGGGGTAGGGAGAGGTCACTAGATTCCTGATCTCTGCTCTGCTCTTAAAAATGAAGGACTGCCTCTCATACTTCCCTTCCGGGCTTCTGCTTCCACATGCAGATCTGAGATGCTATGAAATCTTGTCCAGTTTAACCACTTTCTGAGTCTTCTTCAAGGCAACTAGGCAAGCAATACTTGGGAAATGTGGGGTTGTATAACCAGGCTATATGCTTTTTCAGATTGCTTATAACATCTGTGTAGTATATTTTATCTAATTTTGAAACAAATGGAGACTGCTTAAAAATACCATCTGCTACTCAAACAGTAGATTTGTCCAGTTTGTTTGGTGGATGTGTAGATGAGAGGGGAGACTGTCACAGGAGTTAATTTCACCAGTCCCCTGTCATTGGAAGAGTGGCTGCAGAAAAATCTACTATGTATGTTTTTTAGGTGTCATTTTTAAGGGACAAGAGGAGAACACCTGTTCTTTGTGGTAGGGTGGAAATGTTTTTCTTTAAAAGTTTAAATGAAGAGGGAAACTCAGGCTTTCTGCAGTCAAATGCTCTAACCCTGAGCTATACCCCCTTGCCTGGAAACTCAGGCTTTCTACTCCATGGCACTGTTACTGAACCAAACTTGGGTCCACTTTCCTACACACAGTAAAGCCAATCTGTTAACATTGGGTGGGGAAGGAAAGCGCAGCGTTTATTGTTAAAGTGTCAGACAAGGAGTTTGGGATGGCTGATGCTCAAAAAACCTGAACTCTCTGATGGGTTTCAAGGAGGCATTTTTAAAAGCAAGGTAAGGGAGGGGAGTCACAGAGTGTGTGATCAGTCCATGCACAATTCTCTGATAGGTTGATGGTGAGATAACAGGGCGGTGTCACAGAAGTTAACATTATCAATCCTCAGGCTCCGGTAGGTCTGGGGGCTATGTGCTCATGGTCATCAAGTAGTTAATTTCTTCCATTTCATGGAGGTTTTAGCGTCTGTAAAACAACTCAGGAAATGTGCATCAGATACTGTTATTTGTGTACTTCAGGGAGAAACTAAAGATTCTGTGACTTCCCTATGGCTGATTTACTGTTTAACTTGTTACCAGTTCTTCTGGCCCAACTGCTACTTTTGTCACTACATGTTCACATCCTTTCAATCGTTAATTCTTGAGCCAGGCATTTTTGACTAAGAGGAGGCCTGGGAGACTACAGCTTTTCTATAAACAAGAGGTAGGCAGAGGACGTGGGGGTAGAGTTCTGCCCCGGGAAGGCCCCATAAGGTCCTGTTTATTATAGGGCCAAGCATGTTTGTTTTCACTTCTTTATATCCTAAGTGATGTACCCCTTTCAGTGAAAAGCTACAATATGATTCATTAAAATGTATATCTGATTCTTTTGTTCTTCAAAGAAAAAATCCTTTAGGACACAAGGGATTGCATAAAACATAGACCTTGGTTCTGAAGTAGCCACTTAGGATGAAAGACAGGCATTTTCCTGAGTGAACAGAGTAATTCAGCCAGCCGATTTCTGAGCTGTCACTCAGCACTCACTCATGTAGATTTTAAGACATTTTAGCAAAAATGCTGAAATTACTATATAATGCAGTTTCTAGAGTAAGGAGCCCAGGATTCTTCAGACCTTAGTCTGTGAATAAATACTGTGACATTTTTTGCCACATGCCCAGTCTGATTATCAGTAACTAAACAAGTAATAACGGAATGAATTAACAATCTACTCTTTCAAAATGCAAGAGAACTAGTAGAATGAACATAGAAGAAAGCCCTCAACTTTCTTTGAAAATTAATAAGTATATTTATATACAGTAGCTTGCATTTATATACATTATTTTGAGCTAATTTTTCTACAGTCAGGCCCTTGAAGTCTTTGCTATTGACTATTTTTATTCAGAATATAATTTTACTTTTTGCTCAGAGATTCTGTTTTTCATCCAAATATCTTAAAAATCTTTCATCCAAAGATTCCCTTTATTTCTTAAAAAACAAAATGGGGGAGAGGAGGAGTTGGAGAACAAAGTAAATATGGCAGGGGAAAATGTTCCTGTTTTGCGTGGGGGAGACATCTGGCTCCCTAGGGCTGCAAAGAGGATTAGGCAGTAGACTCACTAAATATTTATTTATTCATTCTTTCTCAACAATTGTACTGAGTGCTTCTAGTATGGCAAGTGTTGGGTCGGGGCTTAGGAGGAACCACATACTGTCTCTGGCCTTAGGAATAATCTGCAGAGTGCCCAAGTCTGCTCAGATCCACCTGCAAGAGCCAACTGTTCAATTTTAAGGCTGTTAAAAAATAAACATTATTAAAAATTAAATTGTATAAACACACAAATAAATTATGTTTAAAATGAAAGTAATAAATACTTAAAATTCGCCACTTCCTACTTTACTCCATTTTACTATGATCTGTTGTTTTCAAGGTTATTTATGGCTATGACACCTCGTATCTATGTGGTAGAAATACTACACTATACTGTGCTATACTCCCCTATAGACAATAAGACATTATATTATATTATATTATATTATATTATATTATATTATATTACACTTCACTACACTATAGGCTGTGCATATCTCTGTCATATCCATAGCTTGAAATCAACTTCAGTGGAAGTATTTTTATGTCATGGAAATCAGCAAACACTACATATAGGGCTTTTTTAAAATTTTTCTGGAAAGCCATGTGTTAAACAATTAACCAGCATATCAACCTAATGTAAAAGCCAAGGGTTTCCCAGAGATTGCAATTTAACTGCTACTGCAGGTGAGACGGGAGTGAGTGGCAGAGACGGTGGCAACTACAGGCAGTCTGCTCCCCTGGGGGGGGTGGCTGGACAGTTTTAGCCTTCTCTTCTGATGAGAGAACTTGAGCCCAGTGTTTGCCAGATTCTGATTTTTCAAAAGAAAATTTCATATTTTCATGTGAAATTTTCCAATTTAATACACCACATGGGCTATCCAGTCTGCAGACCATCTCTTAATCCGGTCTGACTTCCTCATTTCACAGATGAAGAAACGGAGACCTCACTGAGCTCATGATCTCATAGGCACCCAGTAAGTCATAGAAACGGTGGTGTCTCAAGCAGGCACTATCTGGTGGCTCATCCACAGAAATGCTCTGCAGAGATACTTCCTTTATAGGAGACTGGCCGTTAAGTAACGTCAGATGTGTATTCCCAGAGTTCACGAGTTCGGGAGCAGTTTCATCGACCCCCAAGATTTGCTCCGTATAATGCACCATGTCCTCTCTTAGAAGTTTCAAAAGCATCTGGGACCTGGAAATAGACCTTGGATCCAGAATTATCAAGGTTTTCTTTGTAATCAAAAACCGAATCAACTGACTTTCCCATACTTTACCGCATTCCTTGAATTTGCCTCCATGTAGCCTAATAGAACATTTTTTGCTACATTTTGTATTTTTCTAAAGAAAAATAATAAGTCTACAAAAGGATTTTAAATTTTGCCTCCACGTTGAGAATACAAGCTGGGCTTCAGGTGCCCTGGTTCACAGCAGCGCTCGTGTGAGGAGAAAATATCCGTGTTGACGGCAGGCCCTGCTCCCAGGAGGACAAGGAGAATGCAGGGACGAGGTGGTACTAAGCCTCGGCTGGATCCTTATTTGGAAAAGACCCTAGATGACAAGTCCAATCTGGTCTAGATAATTCATAAAGCACTTATTGCACAAATCTAATAATGATTTTTACACAGAAAAAAATACAGAGAATCTCGATTATGCTCTCCCTGACGTGATTTTTCATATTTAAATATGAATAATTTAAATAGGAATAATTCCTAGTGTAGGAACTATTTTTCATTTTCTTAAGCATTTTCCACACTGTCATAGACATCATTATGGTATTTTTAATCACTCCATACTATTACTTTGAACTAAAGGACCAAAATTACCTACTTCACTATTGAACATTTATTTTCAAGCTTGCACTATTATAAATAAAAGCAATAAATATTTTCATGCATGTAATTTTTCCTTTACCAATAAAAATTATAATATTCCTAGAATTAAATTACTAAGTCAAAGCATATAAATTATCTTCATAGCTCTCAAAATTGACTTCTAAAGGGGTTTTACCAATATTTTTATTGCTACCTACGAAGTATAAATGTTTCCATTTCATCATATCCTTAGCAGCTAAATTTTTTTTGTTTTCTGCTCATTTAATAGGTATAAAATGGTATTTATAGTTTTAATTGGTATCTCACTGTTAACTGTCTAGGTTAAATATTTTTAATAAGTTTGTTTATTATATCCTCCCTTGGGTAAACAGCCTATTCAAACAGGCCTAGTTGTTTTCATGTCCTGTTCTTAGTAAACTAATCAAATGCAGAGGCCCTTACGAAAGCAGTTTGGTAAAGCAACCAGTTGAGTGTGACTCAAAATGAGTTTCTGTCTTTCCACTTAATAAACACCAATGCATCAGGATGAGTTAGATGTATTTGCTTTTCCTCAACCAGTTAGAGTACTTTTAAATTTTTTGCCTAATATGTCCACCTCAAAAAACTCCTTTATTCCCCCGAAACCACTCAAAATCCAGCCTTTCCTCCCTCTGGGTCCCACTTTCTTCCTCACAAAATTAGAGTTTCTAATACTGACAAGAGTTGGGAGCATAGAAATATGTTTTCTTTGTTTCATCCAGAAAAAAGGGTTCTAACTCAAAAGAAAGATGGTAACTATTACCTGGACTGAAACCTGCTATTTCTCAAGCAGTGTTCATAATACTTTGTGGGGAAAGATTAAGAATGCTGGTGTAAGACTATTCCATGAATTGAGATTTCTTCTTCGCTCTGTCTCATCAGGACTCAGCCATCCGGAAGACCCTCTCCTCAGACAGAAGTTACCCAAAAGCTTTCTTTCAGTAACTACTAAAAACAAAATCATTTTTTTCTAGGAAAGGGGAGAAGGCAGACGACACAAAGGGGCTTAAAATGATGCATATATGGAACCAGACCAGAAATCTCTGAGCTAAATCTGATGCTCCTTCATAAGTTAACCCGCTTGTGAAGCATGTTTGCTGCTCTTGCCGTTGTTCTATTTTAGTCTTCATTTTATCAGCCTTTCCACATATGTCATTTTTTAAATAAGCCAGGTGTCTTCAAACAGGGCACTCACACTCCTAGGGTATAATGTACCCCTAAGGGTACACACAAGCTATCAGAGGGGCCTGTGGGAGTGGATAGTTTTAAAGCAATCATTTCTGGATCTTTGACTTTCTTTGACCTCTTTCTGAAAATTGATCCAGCTGAAAACTTGCCTGCCGTCTTCTTTATAGCCTCCCTCTGGAAATGATTGCTCTGTCCCATTTAGCTAAACAAAGGCGTACCTCTCCCTCTTCTCAGATCTTACTGTGTGTTACCCAGTGTATAAAATCCTCCTGGGTACAGAGAAGCCATTTTAAATATTGTTGTTGAGATAGGAGATGACTTTAGTTCAAATAAAACGTCCTTCTCCAAACTGGGTGATTTCCTTTTTTTTTCCCTTGATTTCAACAAAATTGGATAAAGAAACCTATTAATTCGTCAGGAAACAAATCGTTAGAAATAATTGTTGATGATGGGCCACAATGTGAATTCTGGAAAATAAGTAAGAAAGAATTTAAATAATTAAGTTACATTCCTTCAAACTCCATGTACTTACATATAGGAACAAGGTTTTTCAATATTTTCATTTATAAAAGTGAAAAATAGGATCAGGGAAATGCAAATCAAAACCACAATGAAGTATCACCTCACACCAATTAAAAAGGGTTTTATCAAAAAGACGAGAAGTAACACATTCAATGAGTAATATCTATATACAAATGCATGAAATAATTGGGGGAAATGTACCATCACTTCATTAAGAAATACATCTCCAATAAAATTTAATTCATATTTTTAGTAAATATTTACCAACATTTGTATAAGTTGTGTTTTGCTCCATTTGTAATCATCATAGAGGCTTTAAAAAAAGTTCATTTCAATGTATACATATAGTTTCTTGCCAAGAAGCATGATGGGGTGATAAAATTCTATAAAGGAAATAAAATGGAAATAAAAGTTCCAAGAAAATAAGGTGTGAGATCAAACTTCTGGTTTTTAAAGAGCTTATTTTTAAATGTTTAATGTGGATATTTTAAGTTCATGGGATACAGTAAAAGGAGGCATATAAGTTTTAGTTTAAATTATCAATATTAAGTAATTTTAAATTTTATGGTGAAAAAAATTGTTGGATGTCTACTTAAGTATGTGTGAGGTTTTTGAAATTCTTTCAGAGGATACCTAAGCCACATAAACCTTTTTGAGAAGTAGATGATGTATAAATAAGGTCAAAAATAAATAGATGGGACATCGCACTGGGCCTCAGAAGAGCCCACAGCTAAGAGCAGGAGCACGTGCTTTCAGGCACTGCCAGGAGTACCCTTCATAGCACAGTCCATGTTTATTGCTCTCGGGATTCTTGATTAATTAGATTTATCCCTTCCAACCTCATGGAAAAGTACGCTTCCGAAAAGAGTGTTAGAAATGTGGCATTTTGGTGTGCTATGTTACCAAAGGAGTTCACAGATTTCTATGAGTTTCCACCCAAAGTTACATTCCATTTTTCTTAAAATAATAATTAGCTAGCTTTTATTAAATATCTACTATCTTCTAGAACAGTAGTTCTCCTGAGAAATAGTTATAAGTGCAAATCTTATAACCCAAAACTATGAAATCAGAAACTCTGGGCATGGGGGTCCAGCAAACGTGGTGATTCAGATACAGGCCAAAGAAGATTATATTTACAGAACATCTGGTGGGGGGCCTTGAACATAGTAGGTATTTAATAAAAAATAGCTGCTATTACTTTTTAAGTAAGTGGTTCATCCTAGCTCCTTGAAAGAAGTTTTCTAGTTACTTCGGGATCCTTGGAAGAAATAGTTCTATGTGTTCCATTATTCATAGGATAAAATGACTTATGTTTCAGATCAAACTCATTTGTCTTCTACCCAAAACAGATTTGCTCCTCCAACCTCCCTGTTTCTATCAATGGCAAATATACATACATAAATTTCTGAGGGTTTCAGCTGGAAAATTCCCTGTTGAAAAACCACACTGGGTGATCTCAGGTGCCCATAAGCCTGGACATATTTCTTAAACCAGCTGCTTCAGGATGTGAAATTCCCACCATCAAAGTCACTTTATTGAGTTAAGAAATTGTGTCCACAAGTCATATGTTAAAAATGTACATGTGTTTTCTAACAGAAATTGACATGACATTGTAAACTGACTTTACTTCAATAAAAAAAAAGTGCACACAAAAAAGGTACATACACTTTCTGAAGAAGACATGTATCTGTGCAAAAGCAAATCAGAAATTCAGAGTAACTAGAATTCACCCAGTAGATTCCTAAGTGTCTCGTGTTACTGCTGCTGCTGCTGATGACAGGCACGCTCTCCTGGAAGGAGGCGCTGAGCAGGGTCTGGGGCACCTGAGACAAGAAGACAGCTACCTGTCACTTCTAGAAGGGCTGGGCTTCCACAGACATTCTGCCGCTGCACTTAGAACATTGCTGGGAAGAATGTGTCACGGGATAGGAAATGAGTCAGCGAGACCCAGTGAGTTCACAGACCAGGGAGCAGGCAGGCTTCACTCCCAGGTTGGGACTCCACACCCACCCGTCAGGCCACCCCTCTTTGCCTTTGTGCTAGAAAACTGCAGTGAAGTAAGCTGCACCTACTTCAGGGCTATACCTGCCGTCAAGGCCAGTCAGCCGTCAGCACATCCGTTTCCCCTGCGGCTGCTCTCCCTGTCCGTTCCCATCGCCTTCTCTCAAGAGCCAGGATCTACTGCAGGGCTTCCTCTAATCTCAGCCTCCACTTATACTTTTTGCATATTTTGTCTTTGTAAAACACTGTGTTCATCAATTTACAATTTTGCAGGGCTTTTTTTTTTCTTCACTGTCTTGGTGCAAGAAGTAGTTTAGCCTCAGTGACTCCAAGAACCACTTAGCTAGCACTTTGAATGTAGATCCCAAGGCCCTGTTTCCTCTGGTTCTGTTTTCACTGATCTGGGATAGGGTCTATGGATCTCAGTCTTGATCACCTCCACCCAGCTGGTAGTGACCAGGTTTGCCTACTAAAAACCATATTCTGAGAAACACTGCTCTTCAGTAATTACATCCAAACTCAGTTTGTCATTTAAGGTACTCCAAATTTTTTTTTACCTTCCCTGCCCCACCCTCACATAATAAAGAGTAAATTTTGGTGGATCTTTAATCACATGTAATATGAACTGAAAAAAGTGAGCTTTTATGTGGCTATTTTAGAGCATACCATGTTGAGCACAGAAAGCTAACCTAAATTGAAGTATCCAGAAGCATATATATCTCAAAAGCATTTTTCTCCCCTGAAGGTACAGCAAACAAGAAACTAGAATGAGGAAAGACGACAGCACCAAAGTGTGGCCCCTGAAATACAAGCAACTTCTCCACATAGAGGACCATGACTTTGCAATGAGACCTGGATTTGGAGGTGAGTACTGTCTTTACAAAACTCTCGTGCCGTGTGCCATTGTGCTGTCAGAACTGAGCTGAAAATTTGAAGCAATTGCAACCAAAACACAAGACCATCAATTAAAACAAAGAACAAAAACAAAAAACCTTTTATAGTGATCTTCTCTTAAATAACCATTGATAATGTATGCATTTTAAATTAACCAAAAAGACTCAATGTTTTACTATATATATTATTCTAAATAGGTGTTCGATAAATAGAATGTGTTCAAAAAATAGTCAATGTATATATCCTGCCCATACAGCAACTTATTGTTTTAATTAAAATGTTATATTGGGTTACATGATAATACTCATAAAATCATGTTGGCTATTCCTGTGAGCTGAAATGCCTGACTTCTGTGGAAGAACTAGCATGCTAAACGCCATGGCTCCCTGTGAACCACCTCTGCTGAGGTGTTTTCTTCTTATCATGTCTGGCAACCAAAATTGATGGAAATGTTGGAGTGTCAGGCACTGTGCTAAGCCCTCTGATGCACCGCCTCATTCCACCCTCACAGTGACCCTGTGAAGTAGGCAATATTATGATCCTTCATATTCTGGTGTGGAAACTGGGGCTTAGAAAGGTTGAGAAATTTGCTCAAGGACATGAAAAAGCAGTAAGTGGTAGAACCAAGATGCAAGGACAAGAAAGAACAGAAGCAAGCCGTATTAGATGGATGCCCTTGAAACAAAGCCTTTCCTGCCCTGAGATTATTTAACTGGCATAGTTGTACCACTGAGGGTACCAAGTTTTCGAGAGAGAGACAGGATGTGGCGAAATCAACTAGTTGAACTGAACACTCTACCTTACTGCTAAATCCATCCTGACTCTTCTGCCAGTGACCTAAGGTCCCCCAGTCTGATGATTCCTGAACTGACAGCTTTTCATGCTAGAGATGTGGAGATAAGAGAAGTGAGTGTGGGGGTGAGGAGGCAGGATCCCCCAGAGGTACCACTTTTTGATAAGCAGCTAATACTTGAAGTCCTCAGCAGTGGGTAGGGAGAACTTGATACTCATCATATTGTGTCTGTGACAAAGGGAAGCAAACAGGCATGTAGGTACCATAGAAAACTAACTTGTTAACAGGTTAAGAAGTACATCAGGTAGCTGTTATGTTGAGGGTTGTTTGGTTTTTGCTCTTTACTTTCCTGGAATCTATTGGGTTGCTATTCTAAGGGTCTGATTTTGATTTTATTAGGTTAATGATGCAAATTTAATTTATTTTTTTATTGAAGCATAGTCACTTTATAATGTTGTGTCAATTTCTGGTGTACAGCATAATACTTCTGTCATACAGGAACATATGTATATATTTGTTTTCATATTCTTTTTCACCATAGTTTACTACAAGATATTGAATATATAGTTCCCTGTGTTATACAGTATAAACTTTTTGTTTATCTATTATATATATATTAGTATCTGCAAATCTAGAGCTCCCAATTTATCCCTTCCCACCCCCTTCCCCCCTGGGTAACCACAAGTTTGTTTTCTATGTCTGTAAGTCGGTTTATGTTTTGTAAATAAGTTCATTTGTCTTTTGTTTTTTTGAAATATAGTCAGTTTACAGTGTTGTGTCAATTTCTGGTGTACAGCTATGCAAACTTCCGCAAGCATCAGAGCACCTGGGGGCTTCTTAACGCATATCACTGGACTGTACCCACAGAGGCCTAGATTCACTAGATATGGTGGGGCCACCAGTGTGCGTGTCTTATAAATTTCTAGGTGATACTGATGCTGCCAATCTGAGAATCACATTTGATAACTACTCAATCAGATTATCAGCATCGGATTAAGGCATGGTGAGTGTAAATGTTTTTGTTTCTCCAGAGCATTTCTCACACTTACTGAACCTAATTTAAGATTTTAAAAGCCTCAGAATAAATCAAGTTTAAAGACGTGTGCGTTTTTTACTTTTAAGTCTGTTTCCTTATCTTCTGGGGTTTTTTTGTTTTTGTTTGTGTTTGTTTTTGTTTTACATCACTACTTCTCAGATGTGTCGTTCTTACCACAGTTCTCCTACAGATGTCTGGGCCCTAACTACTACTCCTGATAGATTTTTCTTTCCCCTAACCAAATTTACCAAGACTTTGGATAATATACTCTGTGACTATCATGCAGGTATTCTGAACCTTGGTCTCTATAAAGAGTTTCTAAAATCTTTGCCCTACTACCAAACGTTTAGTCAGAGAAAATCTACGAAGTTAAATTTGCTCGGCTATGAGTCTGTTGTGCCACTAGAGGGCGCAAGACTCACAGGAATGGTTTGAAATAGACACCTCCGGAGTAGACTTCAGCAGCTCAGCGTGCTGTGCTCTCCTCAACAGCAATTTGAAAACCTGCCCTGATTCCTGTCAGGTTAGGTTCCTCAAATAAATGAATTCCTGTCCTAGAGGAAAGGCTTTTTATGGGCCTATTTTAGACCGTTAAAAGCCAGAAAGATTAAGAGAAAAATTACTGTCCTTGAATTTGGACCTTGAAACGAGCGCTCTAGACTTTGTAGCTCAAAGTGGTCCGAGGACCAGCAGCAGAATCACCTGGAAGCGAGTTAGAAACGCAGACGATCAGGCCCCACCCCAGGTTTTCTGAATCAAAATCTGCATTTTTAACACAATCCCCAGGTGAATCCAGTACACTTTACAATTTGCAAAGCACTGTCATAGATTACTAAGAGCTGACCCTCTGCTTTTATCTTAAAACATTTATGCCTTTATTCTCCCTTTTCTATATCATCCCCATCCCACAGGAAAACATAACATTGACCTTAAATTTCCACTTCTCCTGATCTGTTAGAGATGCGTGTTAACATTTTTTAAACAATTTTTTTTTCCTGAGGCTACTTTGTGGGGTTCTTAAAAATGCAATTGAAATGTGCTACTTAGTGGCAGGTGGCAAATCATCCCTCGATTAAGAAATTTTTCTGACAATCGTGGACTGGGGCTAAATGATATCCAAACGGCTTGCGTGTTCAGTCAGTTCAGGCAGAAAAATGCATGAATTCAGTCAGAAGTGTCAGTCTGGTAACTCTGTGAAATATAGTCCTTAACCTCCTCTTGTCTTGGTGAGAACAGCTTTTTATTTTAATTTTTTAAAATAATTTTGGGGGTTATTGAGTTCATTTATTTATTTTTTTAACTTAATGGAGGTACTGGGGATGGAGCCCAGGACCTCATGCAGGCCAAGCATGTGCTCTACCACAGAGTTATACCTTCCCCCTGCATAACAGCTTTTTATACCAGTGACCCATTCTCTGCTCTCTCAAACTTGCCTTCCTGGGAAAATCAGACTGCAGGATGTAAAAGACAGACTTAAATTTATCTCCTCTCCCTTTCTACTTGTCTGTAACACTAACACACACACATACTCCTTTCCTCTTGAGTTAAATGTAACTTCAGCACTTCTCTTGCCTTAATGTTTTCCTAATTAGCTGTAACATTAAAACCAGCTGCTACCACAGTGTTTTTCACTTTTATAAAGCATTAGAAGATTAATTGACTCATTATGTAGAAACAGGAGGGTATAAATTTAGAGGAGCATTTTGTTTAACTTGGGTTATAAATTGCAGCTCATTTTCTTTATTTATGTTTTCCCTCCCCTTTACAGCTCTCATAACTAAGGGCTTTTTTGTTTTAGTCTTATAGATGATGATGTCTTTGTTTCTTTAAAGTGAAATCAATTCGGCATCTAGATACCGGCTACTGAGTCAAAACCGAAGCTAGAGTTGTAAAGGCCACTTGTCTAGTCTTTGCTTGTCAAACGGGCCGACTAGACCAGGAGCCAGAGGGACCTGGTTGTACCCCTGCATTCACTGGCTCTGGGTTTCAGGCAAGTTCTCAGCCTCTCTGAGCATGGCTTCCTGTATATGTCAAAAAGAGCTCCAATTGTTTCTACCCAGCTACCTAACGAAGTGACTTCAAACAACCTCAAGGGCCCGGTGCTTGTCAGTGGTGGCATGAATGTGTCTTTGTACAGTGGCTTTATAAGACTGTCCCCAGACTTGCAGGGATAGTCATCGGTAACTGGGTCCTACTCACAAGTCATGATAATCTCTGAGAGCCACTGGATCATTTGTTACGAAGAGTGGACTGATTGTCTGAATGTCTGAGTGCAGGACTGGGAATTATGGTTTGCAGTCCTAGGAGCAGACTCACATTTTGGCTGAATTTCAGTAGCAGTAACATTCTGTGCCGGTTATCGAGTACTAACTGAGTATTATTTCTAGTCCTTAAATAAGTCTCCAAGGTGAGTACTACTACTCAGATCTTATACCTGAGAAAGCTAAGCTTAGAGAAGTTACTGACCCTAGATCACAGGTGAGTTGTGGAGCTGAGTTCCAACTCTAGTCTGGTATTAACATGCCAGAATTTTCTCCAGGACATTCTGCTCCCTCTTTCAGACCTCTCCAGTCCCTTCAGTCCCTTAGAGTACTGGAGTTAATGGGAAGATTTACTCATCCTGAAAGGCTGTGTAGGGCCAGAGATGAGATCTTTCCATGAATTTTTATTTTGATATCTCTACCAACTCAAGAAAAAAGGCAAACAAAACAAAATAAAAACATCAGAGCTGAAATCAATAAAGGAATAATATTAAGCTGTTCCCAAGTCAGTGCTTAATCATAATTATCATTAAATAAATATTTAATAGAACTGTCATTACTAATGTTGTAGAAAGTAATTGGTCCAATATGGCAGGAAGTAGTTGGTGGTTAAGATGCAAATGAGGTATTCCTAAAGCCTGAAGCAGAGATATATTCTAGTGACAGGCCAGCTGCATCCTCGTAAGTAAGAAGGTTTAGACTTAGGGAGCAGAAAAGGGAGCTTGTGTTGATAAAGAGAAGCTCATGTCAGCCAATTAATGGAGGGACTCATAGATGGTGGACAGGGACTGGTGAGGCTTGTCTCATTTTATAAAGCGTTGTACATTTAAAACACAATGATTAGGTGCTTTATTGACCTATATGCACATATATGTCACATGTTGTACACCCAGACATTAATTAGCTCAGTAAGGAAGGAGGATTTTCTGGCCTGACCCTTCTGAATCCCAAAATCTTGATTGAAACAGCCACCTGGGATCCTTCTAGGCAAGATTTCTGTTTTTTCAACAAGGAGTTGAAAGCATTTTTAAACTGGGAACTATAAAATTTAATTGAGAATTGCTCTCCATGGAAAGAAAACGTGAAGACTCTATGTATAAATATATAAATTATTGTAATATATATCTGCATCAAATTTCACATACAAATACTAAATAATGAAGTTATTAACATCAGCATCCCATCACACAGAACCGGTGAAACCCTACGGTGTAACAGGGAAGTGTCTTGGTCTCAGTCTGGTCTGGATTCTCTTGCCTTATCATTCGCATTCTCTGGGCCCGTGAACCCGAGCCTGTGACACCCAACTGCAGACAAATCTCAGCGGTTGTCTGTCTGAAGTTGCTCTCATTCTGACTTTCAGGTTACTCTCAGCAAATGCGTTTCTCAGGTTGTTTGCTTCGTCCCAAATGCAGGCTGTGGTTACTGATGATCTGGGAAGGGACACTTCTGAATGTGCGGCTTCCCTGTGTAGCACTGGAATAGCAGTGTGTTCCTCTAGCCTGCTGTGCACCATCCAAGTGAAAGAGGCTGATTTTTTGGTGAGAGAAAAAAGTCTCCCACATTTCCCAGAGCCATGAACTTCAGGACTGCTCTGCTCCTGAGTACACACTACTATTACTACTATTAAGACACACTACTCTGAGTGTGTCCTAATATATCAATAAATAATGGAGAGATTTATTGTTAAAACTTGAGAAATAATTCATTTGCAACGTTGACCACTCTCCACTTTAAATGTTTCCAAAATAACCTTGATTCCTCATTATATTATCTGTTCTTTCTAAAGGATCTCCAGTGCCAGTGGGTATAGATGTCCAGGTTGAAAGCATTGACAGCATTTCCGAGGTTAACATGGTAAGTTTCTCCATGAGACACTTTTTTCTGAAAAGATAGGGTCTCAACGGTGTCAAAATCAGTGGTGTTTTAATAGATCATCTTGATCGTGTATGTTATTTATTTTTCCTACTTTGCTTAATAAAGTGGAAGTTGCTTTCCTGTCTTGTGTTCACTGCTTTCTTTCCTTGTTTTTCCATTCTCATTCCTTCCCTCTTTTCCTTCTAATGGTTTTACGGTAGTGGAGCACTGAAGGACATCGTGGCGTATTTAGCTGTGTGACATGAACTAGGAACAACTGTACAAGAAGAAAGATGATCATAATATATGTGAAATATGAAATCACAGCCATGAGTCCTAAACCGTAAGATGATGGACAGCTGAACCTGGGTGGATGGACTCTTTCCAAATATCTCAGTCGATACTAAATTTGCTTATCTGTAGACAAATAATAGCAGGATAAAAAAAAGCATTTCTAAAAACTCATAGGACTAACAAGTTAAATTAAGAAAATATTGTCCATTCGTTTCATTTTCTAGAAACCTAGAAGAGACTGCTGTTCTTTCATTTTGAATATCTGTCATTTTCATGGAGTATTACTTAAACCCATTGTCCCTAAAACTTTAAACTGACCAATTGTTACCATATTCAACCTTCCTTTTAGCCTTTTTCTGTCTTCTTTGCCAGATTGCATGCCTTACTTTTTTGTTTCCTGTTCCCTAACCCCCAACTCAGTTTTACCATTTTTGCTGTTCTTATGTTTTAATATCCACTACCATAATTTCCCCATTTTATTTTCTCTATTCTTACTTTAGAACCACTGTGTCTACATAATTACCAGAACCATTTTTCATTTAAAATATTTCCAGGTCTTATCGAGATTTTACTTTAAGAAATAGTGCTTCGTACCACAACTAGCTTCCGTGTACAATCACGTGCATTATAGCTGGAATTTCTTTTTACCTTCTACTGTTCTATTAATTTGTTCATGTTTTAGAGTTTTGTGTAGCCCATTTTAGTATTTTTCTATGCCAAATAAAAAGTGCTTTACAGTTTCAAATTTACAATTTCCATTTCCTTGTTGTTACCTAATTGGTGTATATTCTTGTATTTGAATCACTCTTTCCTCCTAATTTTGTTCTCTTCAATTGTGCTGTCTTTTCCATCATCTCCTGTAGTTGCGTTCCTTTTATTTCCTATCAAACTACACTGTGAGCACCTGTTATTGACAAGGGCTCTCATGGGTATTAACTGGTAAGACGCAGCTCTGAGTATGTTTTGGTTTTGGTGGTGGTATCAATTTTGGCTTTGGTCCGAACTTTAGTTTTGTTCCCACCTCCCCACAAAGCATTAGGGAGTTTGTGAGTGCCATCCCGGGGGCCTGTGCCCTGCAGTGTGCCCTGGAAACCATGCCTGGCTTTCCTTTTCACTCGTCCTGCTTCATTCACTGATGTTTCCTCCCTGGTGCCCTGGGGTCATCTGGGGTTGCAACCCTAGGCCAAATGCTTATTGTCTTTCATTTTCTACTTTGACTATGGAAGCTCATTTTGAGGTGGGAGGGGGTCAAAAATAAAACCGGGGAATGTCTCCTCCGTGACTAGAGAGGGTATGAACTACTTTCATTTCAAACTCCATTTTCCATCTGGAAAGGTTTAGTTTGTTGTTTATACAACCTAGTCATTTTGTGTACATGGTTATGCACATTAATCCTTGCATTTCACCCCTCTTTCTGGAATCTTTTACATGTAGGCTTTTGTGAAACTTTCAGAAGCTTTAGGGTACTTTTTGGAATAAAAGTATTTTTGGTGTATGAATTGTAGCTTATATATAGTGTTTTCCATAGAATTCAGTTTTGAAATTTAGATTCTATTGTATTATTTTTAGTATGCAAATACCACAATTAAAGATAAAAATTTTTTAAAGAGAGAGAATAAAGTAGGGCTCTCTTAAGGAAGCAGGACCTAGAAAAATATAAATTACTTAATTGAAAGATCAAATAACCTTTTCATATATACACTTAGTATTTTTATTGATAGTGATTCTTCTAACCAATCATTACCACCCGAGTGATAACTAAGTGAAAAATTATAACACATAAAAAGTCCAGAAAAGTCAAAGCAAAATCTTCTATGATCCGAAATCTCATTTTAATCTTCAGTTAATGTCCTTCTGGTCCCTGTCATTATCTAAGTCAATATTTATTTCAGTTCAGTATCAAGCCTTTCATGAAACTTCCTTCATTTTAAGCACCAATACTACCCACTACTCAAAAATGCCTTGGTTAGAAAGCGTTGGCTCTTCTCCGAACAAAAATGGCTTTTACTGACATTTCCTTGAGCATCTTGTGCTCCAGAAGCAGGCTCTCAGTTCCGCTCTCCTGATATAATCGTGAAGTCATCCCTGAATGACCCAGTTTGCATCTAAACTTCTCACTGTCTACCCCACAGCCCCTAAAACGACCTCATCCTTCTCTGCTGTGTAAGGTCAGCCTTGGTACTCAGTATCAGCAAAAACAACTGTGTTCTCCACTCCCAACTTGAAAATGCTCTCTAATTATCAGTGACCCCCAGTGTTGGCCTCTCTTGCTTCTCATTTATCACTTTTCCACCCTCCCTTGCCCCACCGTGAATTCACTTTCAATCCCTTTCAGTTTCGCCCTGCTCTCCTCCCAACATGCTGTTCAGCCTCCTTATCTTGATGGTGCCAAGTAGCCGTGATGCTCATACATCACTGACAGGCACCAGTGTCGGCCACGTGCCTTCACAGGCTCAGTATTTGCCAGGGCCCTTCAGATCAGACTGAGCGTCTGATTCTAAATATATGCTTATTAAAGCAATGCATACGGTAACCACAAAGTTCCCTGTGTCGTGGTGTTATGGTGATGGATGAATCATCCTATTTATTCACCCTCACCCTAATCCAAAACTGCACATGCCTGATGCTCCCAGATTAACCCAGAACAATGATACAATATACCTCTATTCTGAAAAACAAATGAGCTCACCATTACTTGATGACTTATTTGTGGTTTAGTGAGATTTATCCTTTGCTTATATAATAAATGTCAAAGTTCTGTCATATGTATTAGTTCAAGAAAAAAAACTGAGTATTGCTGGGAAATAAATGATAGTAAGAAGTAAGCAGTTGTGAAAGGTTAAGTACACTGTCGTTACCCAAACCTGTGACTTGGACCAAGATAAGAAAGTTTCTGTTCAAACAAACAAAACATTAAATGTAGCATCTGAGAGTCAAACAGAGCTCAAATTATTGACATAACCATTTTTTTTCTGCTAAAATAATGTTAATATTGCTTTTTCTTCTCATCCTTGCCTCCTTACAACTGGAATGCACGTTAACAATTGAAATCCCTGAGCCATACTGGGCCAGAGTCTCTGGGAACTAGCTTCTGGGAAATGTGCCATTTTAACAAATTCACAGGTGATTCTTTTGCACCCTTGAATTTCAGGACCACCATTTCATGGTATTCACTTTGTCTCTTAAGCTGAGGGAGATTACTGTCTCTGTCCCAGGACCTCTGACAATATGCCTTCCACTAACAGCTGCAGTAAAGGCTGTGTCCAGGTTTTTGTCGGACTGTAGCTTCTCCCACGTGGGGAGGTCTTCTTTAACAAACATGATATCAATTTACAGATACAAAATCAAGTATAAAAGTGAGTATGTATTTATAATGAGAAAAGAAATAAAAATAAAATACTAGGCCATGGGGTTTCAGGTCCCTTTCTTCTGAGATCTCTTTAGGTGATTTACCAGGATGCTTAGGTAGAAATGCTTTCCACTTATAACCTGTTTCCTTTCACCAACTTGACTACTTGATAGTTTTCAGAAACTCTCAACATTCACCAGAGTCCAGGTGAGGGAGAGGCTCTGTAACTGAAGCTCAGTAGCTTCATTCTAAATCTACCTCTGAAAATAACAATAGAAGTCATTCACGTATAAGTCATTAACACCCGTGGAAACCAGTTGAGACTAATAGGGTTGGTTGGTCATCCTGAACTGTGTTCCTACTGGCTTTGACATGTCTCTTTTTCTCTCTGCCTAGGACTTTACAATGACTTTTTATCTCAGGCATTACTGGAAAGATGAAAGGCTCTCCTTTCCCAGCAAAACCAACAAAAGCATGACCTTTGATCATAGATTAATCAAAAAGATTTGGGTGCCTGATATCTTTTTTGTCCATTCTAAAAGATCCTTCATCCATGATACAACCATGGAGAACATCATGCTACGTGTACACCCTGATGGAAACGTCCTGTTCAGTGTCAGGTAAGGAGCGCTGTTTGCTGCCTTTGGCTTTCTCATACCCCACCATCCACACCACAGCTGGTGGGTCTCACTTCAGGCTAAACTCACAGTAGTGCTGTATGTAGTCAGGCTAGAGCGTGGGGGCAAGCAGAAGATGTGATTTTTTTCTTGGTTCTAATTTCTAGGTTTTAAAGAGTGGTTTCCTAGTCTAACTGTACCCACTCTGGGCATATATTGGAGAATTATGGACATCCTTAAGAGTCAATTTTCTGGGTACACAAAACTGCTTTTCCTCCTCACCAACTCCACCCCACCCTGCATCCCACCAAGTCGTCTTGGAATCTTGAATTAACTAAATAATTTTGTGAACTATCCCCATTTCTCACAGGAAGATCTCATCATCATCCAGGTTACCCCTAATTTCTTCATTTAAAAAATTTTGAAAATGAAAAAATTTTTAATTTAAAACATTTGTTCTGACACTATGCCATGGGTGTCCTCCATCTTTAACATACCATATGTTATTTAAACCTAATGAGTCCTGTACATACTAAGTGGCTTATCTTAGGTAATCCAAAAAGTTTTGGTAAATCCAAGCAATTCAGTTTTTTTTTTTTGCATGTCTTAGAAATCCCAGAAAGATTCAGTAGTAAACTGAAAATAAAATAGCTCCCCCAAAGATATCCATGTCCTAATCTCTGGAGCCTATGAAGGTTACCTTATTTGGGGGGGGGGGGAATCTTTGCAGATGTGATTACATTAAGGATCTTGAGATAGATAGGAAAATTATTCTGGATTATCTGGTTGGGACCTAAATGCAACCGTAAGTATCCTTGTAAGAGATAAGCAGAGGAAGGATGTGACACATGTGGAGGAGTGGAAGGCAGTGTGACCATGAAGACAGAGATTGGAACCCTGCAACCAGCAGCCCAGGAATGCTGGTGACTGCCAGAAGCTGTAAGAGGCAAGGAATGAACCTCCCCCCAGAGCCTCTGGAGGGAACAGGGCCTTGCTGATGCCTTGATTTCAGTCCAGTGATACTAATTTCAGACTCCTGGCCTCCAAAACTCTGAGAGAATAAATTTCTGTTGTTTTAAGCCACCACATTTTATGGTAATTTGTTACAGTGGAAACAGGAAAGCAATACCGAGTCTCTTTGTTCATGAAAAACACCTTGCTCACTTTAGTACAAAGATGCTATTACCAGACATTTCATAAAAGTTGTCCATGTTTTTTTTAAAAGTGCTATTAAAGGAAAATATTACTTTCCATAGGACTTTTAAATCAGGAGTAACATAGGACTGTAAGAAGTGTTGGAGTCAAGCCTCACTAGGGAATCAGAAGAAGACAGCCCCATCTGGCCGCAGCATCTACTGTTTTGTATTATTTTGATGAGAGGATATCCACTAAAGAATTGATTCAGTGGGTTGTCCTTTACTCTGCATATTCCAAAGAAATGTTTGGCTCTTGCCTGGCTCCTGGGAAATAACCTACAAGCCCTTGGAATGTCCTGCCTGATAAGTGTGTCTTTATTTACTGGAGGCCTTGAGCCACATGGTATCAACTTGACCTCGGGAGGGGCTGAAGACTAAGGTCAGCCATAACTGCGTGACCAACCCTCAGTTAATACTTTGGACTCCAGGGCTCACGTATCTTCCTTGCATGTTGTCACGCATCACTGCGAAGAGAAGCGCCGTCCACAGAGACCCACGAGAACAGAACAATGGGAAACTCGCTCCTAGTCTCCCCTGGAACCTGCCTTGTGCACCTTACTTCATTGCTGATTTTAGCTGGTCTCTTTCATTGCAGTAAACCATCATCTGTTAGCCTAACAGCTTTGAGGAGTCCTGTGAGCCCTTCTAGTGAATTGTTGAACCTGATGTTGGTCTTGGAGATCCCGAATACAGAAAGACTCAGAATTGTTGTCTGCACAGCGATTTCAGCTGACGGCAGAGCCAGTCCAAGCCCAGAGCCAGGTCACCTGGCCTCAGGCTGGGTTCTCACACCATCTACAGACAGTGATTCTCTCCTTGACCAAATTCTGCTCCATTTCCTCTGAACTCTCTTCTTACCTTGACCCTGATTTTGAGCTTCTATGTTTGTGTCTGCTAAGTTAGTTTAGCCAGAATCCCCCATTCTCAACGTCTGATCACCCTCCATATCTGATGAGGTTCCGCATCCACCTACCCTGCCCCCAAACCCCAGGTGATATCTGATCACCCTGGCCCGTCTTCAGCAAGAATCCTCTCAGGTCCATTTAGCCGGAACCCCCCAACCCCTGATGTTTCCTCTTGGTAATTTTCCATCCACTGACCCCCAACCCCCTGTTCCTTCGCTATAAATTTCCACTTGTTATATTTGGAGTTGAGCCCAATCTCTCTTCCCTATTTAAAAAATATATAGTAATCCTCTTAAATGGAGTCTGCCTTACCATTCTTTAACAAGTGTCAGGAATAATTTTTTCTTTCACAGTGCCTATCTGACCTCCTTGGTTGTTAATTTATTCACATGTACTCTGAAGGAAGTAGACTCAAAGACTTCAGAAGTCCTTTCCAGCTTTAAAGTACCAGGAAGATGTCAAGATGAGTGTGTTTTGTGACACAGTCATCCAGACACCTCCCTGACCTGGCATTTTGCTGCATAACTATCGGCGGTAGAATTCAACCCCCGGCAGGAAAAAAAAAAAGGTTCCGCTTCTCTGATTAACCTGGGGGCACCAGGGGTAGGAGCAGCTGTTGCCTTTGTGTTTTGCAGACTTGCTCAGGGGCCTTTTGTGAACCTCTGATCTGCTGTTGTAGATACCAAAGCTTTTACTTTGAGGCAGGACCATAGTACAGCAACCTCTGCCTGAAGCCAAGCCAGGAAAATCTAGGAGGACATAAAATTTGGGGAAAAAATTCCTAATCAATATGCAAACCTTTCGACTTAATAGCACCTGAATTACGCATTTTGCACATAGGTCTATAACTGTAAATGTTCCAGGCTTACCCCTCACTCCTGGAAAGATAATTTCCTCGAGTAAACTTGCTTTGTGAAAGAAACCTTTACCCAAAGGTTTTTATGACCACCATTTCCAGCTCTTTATTGCTGGAAACCATTTAAAGTTTGGGTTTTCCAAAAGGTAGAAAATATTTAAATCTATTGAAAAATCTTCTAACTTTGAAGTGTGTTTTTCTGAAAACATCAGAGCCAGAAAATACAGACGAAGCTGACCAGGAAGTGGTGAGATCAGAAGCAATTATTAGAGCAGGAATTCACTCATTAACTCTGTGTCTTTAGCAAATCACCCACCTTCCTGTGTTCGCTTCCTTTTGGGTTACTTGGATGAAAGAGGCTAATTTTGCATTCGATAGGAGAGCTTCAATGCTGCGTGGTTTATTTGACCATGTAGTTAAATGATCTGCAGTTTTCTTTCTCTCATTTTTTCTGTAGGATAACTGTTTCGGCCATGTGCTTTATGGATTTCAGCAGGTTTCCTCTTGACACTCAAAATTGTTCCCTTGAACTGGAAAGCTGTAAGTGCTACTCCTTGATGGAGTGAGTATGCATGATCGGAACTCATCCTCACAACTTGTGTATAAATGCGCACACTCTTAACAAGCATTTAAACATCTTCATACAAGTTAAATATGTTTATCCAAAACAGCTGTGTGGTTGGTTTGTTTTCTACTAAGGATGATGGCAAATTTTCTCTCAAATGAGAAGATAGATAATTCAAGGAAAAAATGCTTTGATAACTACATATTCTGCGGTTTCCACAATGGTTTTAAAGGGACATCTCCCTAGAAAAGTGTATTCTTACTAACATTATTAACATAGACTGACAGATTTAGAAAGCTCTGGAATTTTTGTTCCCGTATGAATCCCAAGCTTCCATTAAGTGTTCTTGGGTTCTCCAGAAAAGTCCAGTTCTACACAAAGATCCCCTAATCAGAGTCCTGTCAAAGAACCAAGCCAGCTCCCTGTCAATAACTTTGACCCACCAGCTGTTTTTGACATGACATCTTGAAAGCTGACTGCAGTTTTTCATGATGTGGGTAAAATGCTGGGAATCTCAATGAATGTCTCCTACATAGACACCTTTCCCCAAATCCATTATAAACTTTATATAACACTATCGATTTTAGAAAAAAAATATTCTTTACAAGCTCGACTCACTTTGGAATTTCATCCAAGAGAGCTATAGAACTGAAGGAGTCTAAAGACTTGGCGTCAGGCCTGTGCCTGAGAGGTGATGCTATGACGTCGCTCAGTGCACACAGACATGGGAGCAGCTCTTTGGAGAGTTTTAATGCATCATGTGGGCACAAGAAAAGTCTCCACACTATGTCAGGAGTCAGAGTCTAATTTTTGAAGGGTTTTTTTTTTTCCTTTTTGAAGGTGTGAGTTTCATCAGTCTGTTGGCAAACATATTTGGCACCTGATATATATGTGACATTGTATACATGTCCCTGGGGATACAGAAGTATATAAAACATGGGTCGTAGACCTCAGGGAACTAACTTACAAGATCCTATTCTAATTACAAGAATGCTATTGTCCTGTCTTAGATGCCTACAATGAGGAGGATCTAATGCTGTACTGGAAACACGGAAACAAGTCCCTAAATACTGATGAACACATCTCCCTTTCTCAGTTCTTCATCGAGGAGTTCAGTGCATCCAGTGGATTTGCTTTCTATAGCAGTACAGGTACAGTATTTTATGTGGACAATTCATCAGCATTTATTGAGCATCTATCATTTGCAAAGCACACGTGGAAAGACTTAAGTCCAACAAGGATCCCATTTGGCCAATAACATCATCCTTCATTTACAGGCAGCCATCTCCATTTTCCAAGACAGATCTTCCTCAGCTTACAATGGGGTTACCTCCTAATAAACCCATCCTAAGTTGAAAATACTGTAAGTTGAAAATACATTTACTACAGCTAACTTCCAGAACATCATAGCTTAGCATAGCCTACCTTAAACATGCCCACAACACTTAACATTAGCCTGCAGTTGGGCAAAATCAACTAACACAAAGCCTATTTTATCATAAAATGTTAACTTTTTCCTGTAATTTGTTGAATGCTGTACTTAAAGTGGAAAACAGAATGGTTGTCTGGGTGCAGAATGGTTGTAAGCATATCGGTTGTTCACCTTCACTATCGTGGGGCTGACTGGGAGCCGTGGCTCACTGTCTGTGCCCAGTGTCATGAAACAGCATATCGCTAGCCCAGGGAAAGATCAAAATTCAAAATTGGAAGTATAGTTTCTACTGAACGTGTATTGCTTTCACATCATGATTAAGTCGAAAAATCCTAAATTAAGTCATCCAAAGTCAAGGACCAACCATCTGATCACATTTCTGTCTTCCTCATGTAACCACCTCTAACTAGACATCTTGCTTCTATTCAGCCCCTGCAGGCTACTCATTATACAGCAGACAGGGTATTCTTTTGAGAACATAAAGAGCATGAGTTTTTTCCTGCTCAAAACCCTCCAGTGTTTTTCCATCAAACCTATGGAAGAATTTAAGCTCACCATGGCCTACAAGTCCCTACATGATTTGGCTTCACCTAAGGTCGATCTGACCTCACCGGCCACTCCTGGCCCCTCCACCATACCTGCTCACCCCACTCTGGCCTCTTGTTTGCCTTCAAGCACACCCATCTCATTCCATCTACAGGGCTTCTGTTTTAGCCCTTTCCTCTCTCTGCTTGGAATGCTTTTCTGCCATCTTTTTATGACCAGCTTCCTTCCTCCTTTTTCGCTCAGGACTTTGTTCAAATATCATCTCCTCCATGAACGCTTTCCTAGCCATCCTGTCTAGAAGAGTCTTCCCTCCTCACCACCCCCAATTTGTGTCTGTCTTCACAGCACTTACCCCTTCCTGAAATACGTCTCTGTGTGATTGCTTTATTGTCTGAGGGCCAGCTAGAGAGGCTGCAGGGATCTGTCTGCCTCGTTCACCATTTCTTCCCCAGCACCTGGAAAGTGCCTGGGCTGTGATTGGTGCTCAATAAACAGCAGCTGGATTGATCAATCAGTAAAGTGTGTCACTGCTCAAAATAGAAAACCTATTCAAAACTGGGCCTGAATGATATACTCCTTTCCATGACAGATATATTTGTGCTGTGACAACATTTATCCAAGGCACTTTAAAAAATTGTTCTGGATCCCTATGGATTCAAGTTACAAGGGGCCTTGTCTTCCCTGGTTGGTAGCATTCTCGGTCATTTCAGACAGAACCCGTATAAAACACCATTGTACATTCCTGAAGCCCTGCTGAGGCCAGAAAGCGTGCCACCGCTGCCGCTGAGTGCACCACTCTGTCCTTGGACTCTCTTGTTACCAAAAGCCTGTGCCATTAAGAGAGAAATCAAAATTTACATCACACAGAAGCTAAAGGACTTTCTAGGACCAATAGCTATGTCGCTATTTAGGTCCAGAAGAAATGTTGTATCTCACTCCGTTGTTTGTCTACATTGCTTCGGATTTAGCAGGTGATGCTATTAATTGTGATAATGCTTCCTCCTGCCTTTTCTGATTATATAAGTGACATATTCATTTTGATCATTGATCTGTCCCTGGCACACAGTAGACACTCAATAGCTAATTGTTAAATGAATGAATGAATGAATGAATGAATGGTAGATAATTTGGAAAGAATTCAGAAAAGTTTAAAGAAAAAGCTTTTATAATCCCACCTCATGGATATAAACTATGTTATTATTTTGATATATTTTCTACTTCTTTTTCTTCTTTTCTCTCTTTGTCTTTCTCTATATAAGTAAATATAGGTATGTTTTTTTAATCAGGATTTTTAATGCCCTTAGTTCTAAAGTAAATTAATATTTAAACAAAGTAATGCAGTGAACAATGATGCACATTGAAGTATCATTTAGCCTTTTTTGTTTTACTACTGCTATGATGAAATAACTTTGGCACATGGTAAGTTGTGAATAAACTTTGCAATATTTGAAGCTATTAAAATGTGATATATATGAAGCATAGAAATTCAAGAGTATTGTTTCCTGCACAGAATACATATAACACATATAATAACAATGGCAATTTCCTCAGATCTTGAAGCCTAAGTATCCATTAGCATACATGCAGACGGTCTCTTAAAAAGCAGTTAAATTTCACTTCTAAATTCTAATTTCACCCACGTATCATTCTACTGGCTCCACTGTCTCTTGATTTGTGTTTGTCAGATTTTTTTAGCCCTACCAAGCAGTTCTGACACTAATTGATTTTTATCTCCTTCTGGTCATGTTTTAGAGTCTGCCTAAGGTCAAATTAATACTTGCATTGAAAAACTTACTGCTCAGAAAGATGCTTTTAGTCGTTTTAAAATGTAGTAAAAATTCTTATCACTCCAATGTAGTTGCATTTTTAAGAAATAGCATTTTGATTTTTGAAGAAAACTGAAAAAAAAATTAGGTTCAAATATACATGGTTTACATAATAAATTAAAATTAAAAAAACAAGTAACAAAATATATATATATATAATCCCATATTTGCTATTTGTAAATATATATATATATATAGTTTTTTAATGTTTAGAAAGATTAATGATAGATACCTTTGAGAAGTAAGTATAAATATTAGGAAGATTTTCAATTTTATTTCAACACTTCTCTATTTTTTAATTTGTTAAAATAGACATACTTTTTAATGAGAAAGATTAAAATAGACCCTAAGACTTAAAAAATAAAGTATGTTGGAAGTTCTATTCAAATATCAAGTCAATAATGATATCTCAGTTCATTCAACCATTTCTGAGGTCTCAGATCAACATTTATAAATTGATTTTAGTTAGTGATAGTTCCACCTCACATTTTCCATAAATTACCAGTCTACACAGAGCCAAATTCAAGTATTTTTCTCAGATTAAACATTCATTTTATCAAAAATATTTTATATTTTGTCTTCATTTCTATCACTAAAACAACTACCATCACCACCATTCCCAAATCAGTGATACAGGAAAAAAAAAGCTGTATTTGTGGCTTTGGTTACAAGAAGCAAAAGTATAGTTATAGTTGTAGACCTTTAGTTTGCATTTGATAGCTGAGCCATCATGTACTCACTTTTTCCCGTGTCATTGCCTTCACCACTCTCTGTCAATATTAACAAGCAGGTGAGGGCTTCTGCCCCTCATCCCTTTCAGAGCCCCTCAAAAGCATGCACTGTTAATTTAGCAGGAGAAAGAAATGACTCCTGCCCCTGTGAGATGCATTGAACAATTACTGTTTATTGCAGCTTAATGTGGTGGCTGAAAGTACAAGTTCTGGAAAGGGACTGCCTGAGTTCAAATCCTGACTCCTCCACTTATTACAAATGTGACCTTGGACAAGTTGCTTAATCTCTCTAAGCCTCAATTTCCTCACCTTTAAGTTAGTTTCTACCTCGTAGGGTTGTGAGGATACATAATTTAATAAATTCCAATAACTTAGAATACTGCCTGCTATACTCAAAAAATACTAGCTAGTAGCTGTCATTATCACCCTTCGTAGGGTTGTGAGGATACATAATTTAATAAATTCCAATAACTTAGAATACTGCCTGCTATACTCAAAAAATACTAGCTAGTAGCTGTCATTATCACCCTTTTTATCAACATAATCATCCTTATCCTTTCAACACAAATTGAGGCCATAGCATCAACAGGCCATTGAAGGTGACAGTCTCCAGGTATGAAAACCTTCTTGAACCTTGTGTTGGACTGTCTCCCCAGTTACTGCCTGTCTCTTCCACTTCCTGCTGCTCACTCTCCTGCCCTTTCGCTTTCTTTCATAAACTCCCCTTCTTTCTATAGTGTGGCAACCTGATGGAGGTGGATGGACACTTCCACCCACAGTTGAGTTCAGATGTCTAAATTCCTGATACCACACACGTACTGAAAGGTATAAAGAGATTTGTTACTTAATAAGTGAGGTTTTCTAGAGAAAGCAGGGCAGCTCCCAAGCAGGTCTGAAAATGGCTTGAGAGGACAGGGAGGGGAGCCTGGCTTGGGTTTTGCGGTGGTTAGACAGTGGGGCTGGGGTGAGGGCCCCCTTGCACAGAGCCGTGTTTGCACAGTTTGATCTTCCACTGCTGGTGCCAAAAGAGGGAGCACGGGGCTTTCTTACTAGCTTGCCCAGGTGTGGGGCAGAAGGGGACGTGGGGCTAGAGAGCAAGCAGCAGTCAAATACCAAAAATGGAGTCAGACTTTGTATTTATGACACTACCCAGAATGAGGGCTCCTTCTCTTTCCAAAGCAGCACTGCTTTTCCTGATGAGTAAAGGGAACTCTTCCTGGCTACAGCTTCAGCAACAAACTGTCCCTAGTCTCCCTTTCCCAGAAGAACTGCAAGACAGAGCAGCATTTCTCCTGCTTGAGTGCAGAAAAAAAAATTCAGAAAATTATGAGTAAAGAAAAGACTTCATTACCTAAATTTATTTCAAGACTTAAAACCATATACATTAACGTGTCTTTCTTTATGAAGTACTTTCACAGCTTTTCCTCATTTCTTTTAATCTCACAATAATTATATGAAGCTATAACATGAGAGATGCTATTATTCCACTCTACAACCATATTCAAAATTCTCAATTGCGAACTATAATGAAGTGGGCTGTAACATAGGTAATACAAGACAATGGGCAGCTTAAAAACAGAATGTATATTTTACTTTAGAATGTAGTATGTAGTGTATCCTTTATTACATTACCCTTGTAATGAAATTGTTGGGTATTCCTGAAACATATCAACTGATGCTGAGAGGACCTCAGAACAAGCAGGAAAGAGAAGGGTGGTCAGCACTTAATTAAGAATAGAGTACTAGGAGTGCAGCCTGCCAGTTCGTGGGGGATTGGATAGGTGTGTATCTTAGACTGAGTACCTAAATATTTACCTGATCTAATAGGTTTGCCATCTTGGGTTACATAAGAAATTACTGCTGAGGAAGTAGAAGGGTTTTCCAGCTTTGCAACACCTGTGATTTAGTGTTACTATTTTTAACCTGTAATCCCCGTGTTTTGAATAATTTTGTCTCAAAGTGAACAGCATTTATCATAGAAAAAATAACCACCACTTATTAATGTAAGCATATTTTCATTTTTATGTATTTTATTATTCACTGTCTTATTTGAGAAGAGATTTAATAAAATTGGCATCACAGTAATTGTGAAATAAAGCAACATTATATGAATTAAAAATGTGTGAGAGAGTAAAATGTAGAACAAGGGTAAGTTATTGTATGAAATCCGATGTTTGGTCATTAGAGAAGAGCACTCAGAGAAGTCCTATAGATAGTCCAAAATTTTGGCCTGTAGGCTTCCTTGCAGCCAATGTGAAAAGGGAAACCTGAACAAAGTATGTGTGTAGATATGACCACAATTGGTGTTCTTGATCAGCGCTAATCAGTCAGTAGTACCAGTATGAGTTCATATAATTCCAACAGAAACAAAGAAACATTATCATTTGGCTACTTTTTGGCAGATTTGTCATAGATAAATTAATGGTACCCATAAAACTTTGAAATAATAAAAATAGGTCACAGATACTCCCTCCCCCAGTCCCTCTTTGAATGCTTAGCTGTCTGGATCCTAACTTGGAATCCAGTGACCTAGTAGCTACTGTGAATCTCTTCCTTCAGATAAAATGTTTCCTTTCATTTGTTACAGCGAGTAAATGGTTTATTGCCTCTTGTGGTCAGTCATTAGTCACGTATTGAAGACTTTTTCACCAGCAGAAACATTGCAAACACAATATAGTTTGGCAAAAGGTCTTTAAAGGCCATCCCACAAAATAAAATTACTGTTCATCCCCAAACAGCAGGTATGAAATTTAAGGGAGAATATTTGAGTCAGATAGTTAAACAGACTGCAGTTCAGGTAGCTCAACAAACATTGGATGCAGTGCAGGTAAACTAGGGTGACAGCATTAAGTTCCACGTTTCCTAAGAGCTTGGAGACTGCAGAAGCAGGTCATTTCACTAAGCGTGGGGTTGCCACAAGGAAGCCCGTTCTGATGAAAACTTCGGCTTTTTCTCATAGGTTGGTACAACAGGCTTTTCATCAACTTTGTGCTAAGGAGGCATATTTTCTTCTTTGTGCTGCAAACGTATTTCCCAGCTATGCTGATGGTCATGCTTTCATGGGTCTCATTTTGGATTGACCGAAGAGCTGTTCCTGCAAGAGTTTCCTTGGGTAAGTCTTTCCACATCTTTGTGAAATATTAATATAGGAGAAATGTCGAGGGCTGTAAATAAAAAGGGTGATAAGTGGAGAGGGAACGAGAGTGGTAGTTTAGTAGGGTTGGTTACAGATTACTGAGGTCACAGTATTTGGCTGAGAACTTCAGGAGCGAAGTGCGGCTGGCCTCTTTCCCTGGGAACCCAGACGTAGGTATGAAGCTGCACCAAGCGGCCAAAGCCGGGTGACAGTAAGGAGAGGGTGCAGTGGTGAAGCACAGATGTCTCTCTTCTCCTTTTCAGGAAAAGCCCCCGCCCCTTGCCCAGTTTCTTTTCGCTTTGCCTGACCAACATTTACATCATAGAAGGGTTCCATTCAAACTAATTTACACTATACTATTGGTACCTTAATAAATTTCTTTTTGGAGAAGGGGAATGCTTAAATTCGGAAACATGAATGCTAAGCAGAAATTAGGGCTTAACCAAAATGCCAAAATCCAAATCAACCACAGTGAACTTTTAGGCATGGTGTCAATTCAGTTGGCGAGAGATTTTAGGTGGCAGGATGTTGCCAGCCTCATTGAAGTTGCCACACAGGTGTGATTATCTACCCTGTCTAGAGTGTTATGTGCCACTGTCACACATACAGATTTATGGAACCATTTCAGACCCACTTAGCAGTTACTGAGACCCAACAAAGTGGAGGTGCCAAGCTAAGCACTTAGATAACATGTTACTTCATGAGAACCCAGGAGTCTATCCCATCTGCTTTCTTGGCTGGTTCAGGGTAAAACTGCAGAACTCTCTCATCTGGGCTGATTTTCTTCTTTCACCTGTAATGCTCTGTCTAGAGCAAAGATTGTTAAAAGTGGTTCACAATCATTGTAATTATCACACAATTCAGTCCAGAAAGGGTGATTTCTAAGTTAATGCTCACAAATTATATGCATACTTCAAAAGATGATTTGAAAGACCTAAATTGTCATTAATATTAATAATTTGTTCACATCTTTCCCCTGTTAAAAGCTTCAATCTACAAGAATTTGAGGCTTGAATGTCTTCAGGGGGAAAAATACCAGCTGAATGAGTAATTAAATTATTGTGGCTGTTCCTTCACATCAGAGCAGCCTGGTTCTGACCTGAGGACATTCAGCAAGAGGGCAGAGTAGACCCAAAGAGGACACCAAAGGCCCATTTCCAGCCCTCGAGGCAGATGAGAAAGGCATTCAGTCTCTAAAGGTTTATGAACAAGATTTTTCAATGGGATCCCAAAAACTGAACGCTCAGTTCTTACACTTTGAAAATTAAAGCAATAAAAGCTGGTTCCAGGGCAGGTTGGGGTGAATGGAGAACATTAAAATGCATTTAAGACACCCCTGGAATTCTGTGCTTCCTGCAGCTACATCTGATGCCTACATCTGATGCATAGGGAACCACTATGCAGATTTATGTAAAAGAATATACAAATCAGAAGTGGAATCAGATGTGTCCCTGTCCTTTTTTGTTTGTTTGTTTTTTAGTAAGAGAATTTCAGTATTCCTAGAACACTGCTATCTTCTCAGGCTTTTGCTCCCTACTGCCCTCACATTCTTTCAAAGATGCTTTGCTCTGTTTTGCTCGCTCTTCCCAAATGCGGTGTTACACAGCTCTCTGGAAGGTCCCTCAGCAAGCTGTCTTCTCAGCTCTTCCCCTACTTCACTTTCTCCAAAGTACTTTACACTATTAAGCATCCTCTCCAAATTCAGAACCAAATGTAGTGGTCCAGAGCCCAGCCTCAGCTTCCTCATCTGCAAAATGAGATTATTCACACTCCCTTCCTGAAGGTCACCATGGGAATTAAATGGGCGCATTTGTGTCCACGGGCCAGGCTGACGTCTATGCCGTAGTGTTGGATAAAACCAACCAACAAAAAATACATTCATTTTCATTACTCTGCACTGGTCTTGTTTTTCTCTTCCCTTGGACTTTTCTTCCATTTCTCATTTTTTACTTCTTCCTTCCACTCCTTAAGTCACTCCTTCCCAAGGTTTTGCTCACTTTTGGTTCTTTCATCCAGTAGACCACGGCCCCTGCTTCCAATGTCTGTCCCTATGAAAAGAAATCCCCAGTTTATGTCCTTATCTCACGTCTTTCTCTCAGGTTCCAGAGAGGTAGGCACTGCTGCCTGCTGGACTTCACCTTCAGGTGGACAGGCACTCAGCACGGTCAAAACTGAGCAACCACTCTCCTCCCACACACACCTGACTCCCACTTACTCTCCTGACTTCAGCCCTTCTATTAAGGGTCACCAATTCATTGAGCCTGTCATGTTTGAACCTTCAATTTCTCTCTTGGTCTTTGGCAGTGGTTCTCAAACTCTGGTTTTAGGATCTATTTACACATTAAAAATTATTAAGGACCCCAGAGAGCTTTTGTTTTTGTCAGTTGTATCTGTCATTATTACCCATGTTGGATATTAAAACAGAATTTTTAGAAGTATGTAGCAATTCACTTAAATATAGTGATAATAAACTCATTACAAGTTACCATAATAACATACTGAATGAAAACTGTTTTTCTAAAACAAAACATTTTCCATGAGAAGAGTGGCATTGCTTTACATTTTCACAGACCTTTATTGTCTGCCTTTATGGAGGACAGCGGGATTCTTACCTCTGCTTCTTCATTCAACTTGTTGTGCTAGGCATATAGAAAGAGATCTGGCCTCACTCAAATACATAGTTGGAGAAAAGAGTCATATTTTCATAATGTTTTCAGATAATTGTGCGTAGTCTTCCTTGGCATTAGACCAAAGTTCAGCAAGCAACACTTTCTTTAAGGTTAGCTGCAATGTGGAATCTGAAGCTATATCAATGGATGTTTTCTACTCTGTTAAATTAAAATCGATTTTTCTATCTTGCACTTTGACTAGATCTTCTGATGCATGCATTGGTCATTTGAAAAATATCAGTGTCCTAGGTTGCACGAATCTTCCCAATGTTCACATCATTCCTTACATGTACCAAAAAATCACATTCGTTAATACCACAGCTAATCTTACCCAAAAGAAA